GTCTCTTTAAAACATTTTTTGCAAAAAAGAAGGTCCCAACTGCCCTTTCCAACTCCCCCTTTTCTTTGCGCTTGTTCGCGCTCAAGTGTTGAGGACGGATTCCAGAGTGAAACACCTGGGTGAAAGGACGAAGTTTTGCCTTTGGTAAGAGTAGTTCGGCTAAAACTGCTAAGCCCTCGTTTATGTACACTCGGGCTGTTTTCACAGCTTGCCATCGTCCGGCAATCATCAACTTATCGAGGCTACCGTGCCGGGACAACCAAAATGTCGCGCCCCCTCTACGGAGGCTGTAGGGACGGAATTGGAACGCTTGCAAAGATAGGGCAGTGAGACATGTCGAGAATAGTTGTCGCCATTTGGCATTTGTGGGACACAAAGTAGCATGGGGTTTGTTGGCGGTCTTCCACATCCACAACCACTTCAGGGCATCCCCACTGGAGAGGGTCACGCTCTCAGCAGCACCGGTTCGCTTTCCTCCCTTTGTCATTCCCAGGGAAATAACAGCAGGGGTCTTGGGTCCGGTCATGTAGATATGGGAGTTTTTCAGGTGCAGTACTTCGCCGGTGCGCAACATAGCATAGTAGGCCACAAGCAAAGACACGCCAAAGCTGAAATGACCATGAAAAAAGGACCAGCCAACCATGGCAAGAAGGGCTTCTTGAGGCAGAGGGGGCGCACGGTTGGGGATTTCATTGGTGCTCCACGTGCGCAGAAGTCGCCAAGACAACTGGAGGTGTCCTTTCAACTTAGGATCCCGATCTTGTAGGCCAGCAAGAGTGTCACAGGCCTGAGCACGGCCTGCTCCATCCGACCATAGATGCTCTACGTACTCTGCTAGCAGCCCGTCCAGATGCTCTCGTTTTCGTGGAAGCACCAGCTCATTTTCGTCCAACCATGCAAAGAACTTGCCGGTGGCTGCGTCGTATCGGTTTCTTGTTTTGTCTGACACTGTCAGGGACCTCAGTGAACCTAAACTTTTTCGAACCTTTTGCCTGTCTTCTCGCGTCTGACCTTCTAGAACCCTTTTACCTATTTTGCCCATTTGCGCCTGACGGGTCGCCGACTCGGACGGTCGGCGGGGTTCTGAGAGGTGTGTATGTATCCCCATAGGGGATGAAGATCAGCTGCAAGAAGATAGGCGTTCAGGCGTTGTATGGTCCTTCTGAGCTTCCGACTCGAGCTCCGCCCCCGAGTCAGAGCATGCAGACAGACAAGACTGTCTGTGAGGTGTAGAAAGCGCATGCGGAGACGGTGGCCACGCAGAATCTTCCAGCGTACAGTGGTCAAGATAGCTCTAAGCTCCAACAAATTGATGTGGTCACCCGGATGTTTCCATGTCCACCCACTAATTTCTTTCCACCTCCAGAGGCGGCCTGGGATGCTAGCTCTCAGTCTACAGTGCCGAGGTAGGGGGTCACTACCTGCATGAACCATGAGGTCCTCTCCCTTGGAAGCAGTCAAACCCATGAGTTTTTTCACTAAAGCATCCGTTCCTGTCCCCGGGGGTGTATGTTGACGACATGGAAAAGGAGGTCGCATGAGGACATGGTAAAAGCTAACTCCTCGCCCTGGTGTGAACTGCTCCACCAAGGTCTGCAAAGTCCACTTTCGGCATAGTCCCAAGGGATGCATCAGCTGTAAAATGAGCCAAGCTACCACTCCCACCTGCCAGGAGTTACCAAGGAGGGTCAGCCGTGCGTCATTGTAGTCCTGACCCTTCTGCTCGGCTTTGACGACACAGTTTTTTGTGTAATCCAAAGGGAACCCCATGATGACCTCCCGCTCTTGTACCCCTGGACGCCTCCATTCACCTTTTTTATTCCACAAACCATGGGTGTCCTTGTATTGGTACGGGGGGAAGCGGTATGAATCCTGGGACCAGCGTTGTAGTTCATGGTCTTCACAAGAGTTAATACCTGCTGGCCGACGTCCGGGCGATGTTCTCGGCCGAGAAGTAGTGAACGTCGGGAGGTTGCAGCCCTCCCGGAGGGACCAACCTCTTTCCAAGAAAGCACCTGCTTCAACCTCCGCCTCTAATGACACTGTGGAGTAGGCCTGAAACCCGTCCTCATGGTTCTGCGAAATCTTGACACCTTCTGCCTCCGACAATTCCCAACTGATCCAATACAGACGGGGCCGCGAGCACAACGCTATCCCCTTGGAATCGATCCGGAAAGGACACTTGCCGAAAGCACTACTCATCAGGGCCCTGTCTTCACCTGTCATGGATGCTACATTTTCAATCAGCTCATGGACTTGTGCCCAAGGGAAGGCCTGACGAAACAGAGTGCAGTTGCGTGGCACGTGAACATACAAAGAACTTCGCTCATCTTTGATTGCCCCTTTCCGGTCTGCGTTCAACCCACTGACCCCCTGACACGGGGGTCCCGCACCGACCAGGACAACGCCCACGTTGCTATACTTCAGAGCCAGTTGAGCCACCTCATCAGCCCCAAACTCAACCACATCGTCAAAAAACTCTGTCTCCGGGAAAAAGCTTTCCACCACTCGCCGACCCTTGGGGTCTTTTTCGATGCTGACATGACCAGCCATAGGAAGTCCTAGTATGTCACAGGCCACCCGCAGAGCACCTATGCCATCAAACAACCCTACCGTCAAGACCTGCACCAAGTCATGAGCCTCCGGGACATCACCTCTCACCTCGGAATTCAATGCGGCCATGCCATAGTCACTCAGCCCAACCGACGAGCATGCACCGCCACCTTGCGTGGAGGCATCGGAGCAAGTCACTACACCATCGACCGACGTCCGGAAGTCCATCTGGCCCAGGGGGCTCAAAGCAACAAACCTCGAAAGCTCCACCTTCACCGACCATGGTAATGCCAGACGCACCACGGGCGCTTCGCCTTCAAAGCGCTGCATGTGCACGAACACCTCATTCAAGCAGCCCAGCAGTGCCCTACGGAACATGCAAATATAGATGAAGCCCCCACACACGACCTGAAGTTCCCGAAGCGTGCACTGTCCTCGCCGAAGCAACTCATCCGCTAGCTTACAGTAGACCTGGACCTTCTCAGGTTTGGGGGTAGCAAACCCAGCCTCACCGTCCAACCAGGCACCTTGTACCTCACCTTGCAAGGCTCGCTGCACTGATTTCTTGGGGTGCCGGGGCAGGCCCATGCTCTCGTACTGCTGTCGCACCTGCTGGACGGGATCAGCAACTCCACCTTTGATCTTCTCTGCCAACCCCCTCTCGGTCCGCTCCAAGAAGTCAAAGTTGTCAAGATAGACCCTGTACAGTGCACTGCCCGAACTGAGGGGACGATCCTTTCGCATCTCACGCTCCCCACCTACACCTGCCATGCCTGCCCATTTCACCACGTTCCTGTGAACATGCTGTGCGATGGACACACTATTCAGAAACCCCATCGGTAAAACCTTTGCCACCAAGACACAGTCCTTTCCAACCAAGTGTTGTGGAACCAGCTCAGGAGGCACCAGTTTGTTGAACCCCAAGTACTTGCGCCACTTGGCCGGCACTCCAAACAGATAAAAGAAACAACGAATGTCTTCACTGCTAAGGAGCACCACCTCCCCCGCCTCGAGGAGGAACCCAGACAATCCCGCAATTCCCGGGAGTGTCCCAATATCCCCAGCAAGAGGACGACATAGGGCGTTCACTGGTATCAGGTTCATAATCAGCCGTTGCGTTTCCAATCCGTTCTTGAATTCCCCCTTTCCTACTGAGAACATGCCGTTCAATAATGGCTTGCCCTCCACGTGACACAGGTCCTCAATCACAAACATTCCGTGCCACAAGTCCTTGACAAAGTTCCGGCCACCCATCTTTTTCCACCATAACCCTAGGCGGTTTCACATACTTCCAGTCTTCTGGGGGTAAAAGGAAGTCCTCGAACTGAGTCACGTACTCCAGGGTTCCAAGCCGACAAAACCGTTCAAGTTCAAGGCAACCTACTTCTTGGGGGAAAGAGTCACACACAGCACGCCAGTTCACCGTCATTGCAACTTTCACTTCGTCACCCAGGTAATCAACCGACTTTCTTTTAAAGAAATCGTCAAAGCAAATGTCATGTTCACCTATGCTCCACATGCGATGTCTATGCACCAGCTCGCACAAATTTTTCAAAGCCGACTGCTGAAGGTCTGAGGTGACACTTCCGGGAGGCGGGTTGTTCCAGCCTCCCAGATGGTTCAGGCTAGCAACGGTCGCTGCCAGCTGCAGGTCATCCTGGGGCACGGGCAGAGGCAGTAGGTCTCCCTGAGCCATGGTAGCCTTGCCCATGTTGGAGCGCATCTTGTCGTCACACATCATCGTGCCCAAGGCCCTGCGAAATACCTCAGCTGTACCAGGCGGCTTCGAAAGATGCAGCGGGTCACTTCCAACCCCGGTCCCAGTGTCTCCATGTAGAAGTCCTGTAGTCCCAGGTTGGGGATGCTGCTGGAAAAAACCATCATCAATTTCGTGAGACTTCGAAGGTCGAGCTGTAGGTGCACCCTCGACCTCGTCAAAAACCATGCTCCCTTGATCTTTCCCTAGCTCCCTGCCACCAGGAGCCAGGGCGCCTCCAGGAGCCCCATGTTGTCTTGCGCCACTGTCCCAAATACCAGGAGAGGCCCTGCCACTGAGCCCCTCCCGTGAAAGCCCACTCTCAAAGCCACTGTACTTCTCCTCCTTGTAGCCCGCATTGCTGAAGCCCGCATCTATGTAGCCTTCTTCTTCCCCTCGCCCTTGGCCTTCTTTCCTTTGTCTGCTTTTCCGCCCTTCTCGCCCTTCTCGAATCTTGGCCTCCATTCGCTCCACTGGCCTTTTCCTTTGTCCTGCCCATCTCGGACACTCGCCTTTTGAAGCACCTTCTGCTCCTCGCTGGCTTGTCGACCCGCCTTCATGATCTCGGTTGCACTGCTCAATGACGGCCTCTCCTGTGCTACCAGCTCCAACTGCCTCAGCAACTCTGGCTTCATGCCCTTGGCGTGTCCCTCCAACGCCTTGAGACGTTGGGCTCCCAGGTCTGCTGCGGCGGCTACCTGGCCGGTCAACAAAAGGTCCAACAGGAGTCCCCAATGATGGGACTCCCGTGCCACCGGGCCGCTCATTGTTGGCATCAATATCTGTCGAACATACTGGGTAGCTATTGCAGGCACCGCGCCATCCATAGGTTCGCCCGGGGTGCCCATCTGGCTCAGGAGAGCTTCTTTTGCCTCGGCAATCATCGTCATTGTCAATACACCTGGGCATTGTTTCCACACCCTCTGCGTTGATGTAGCGGGCTCGAACAGGTCTTTGTCGTCCACCTCGCAACTCTCCGGGCTTGAGCTCGAACTGCTGCTGCCATCCGAAGATGAGCTCCCCCGCTTCTTGTTTCGAGTCCGTCGAGCTACTCGACGGGCCCTCTTCTTCACCTTTCGGCGGACTTCTGCCTTCGGATCGAGCCCCGTAGTTCCAAACAGGCTGTCCAAACCCTTTCTGGCCTGGATTCGGGAGGCAGCCCTCTTCCTCTTTTTCTTCTTTTTCTTTGCCTCGTCTCCCGATGACCCAGGAGACACCTCCTTCTTCTTTGGCTTCTCTGCTTGGCCCCCTACTCCTTTTCCACGAAGCCTCAACTCCTCTGCACTGGCCCGAAGCTGACGCAGCTCGTCGTCGTCCTCCTTCTCCACAGCCGCCTCGAGAGTCTGGCTCCATCCCAGGCTCCCTCGCTCTACCTCGCGTACTTGGCTGCAATGAAGGTAAGCCTCCTCCCAGACCAGTGCAGGACAGGGCTCCGGGCAGAGGTGCACCCTCAACTGCCTGCTTGGCACACCACTCAATGCCCTCAGTAGGCTCTCCGATGGCGTCCCACTGGCCTTCAAAAGAATTTCCCGGCCTGTGTCCTTTCTCTTGATATCCATAACCTTGCCGATGACCTCGACCTCCTCGTCCCAATATCTGCCGCGTAGATGGACCCATTGCCACCCCAGGAGAGTATCACTGCTTACCTCTCCCGCTCTTTCCCAACCGTCTCCTTCTCGTGCACCAGCGGCTGCAGGCCTCCTCGAGGCGCCCACTCTCTCACCAGCGGCTGCTGGTCTCCTCCTCGGGGGCATCACCGTCGGTAATACCCTCTGTAAGCACGTTGCCGCTCCTCCCAAGCCTGCTGCCTCCTCCGTTCCCAATACCTCTGATTCTTCAAGTCTTTCTTCACCCCTTTGTTCTTTTTGGGTGGTGGTCTGTTCTTGTGTGCTCTGATGGGCCCAATCCACAGCTGTCCTCTACTGGGTCGGCGTGGTAGAGGAGGAGGATGATCTGGTGACTTGGGCCTTCTTGCAAGCTCCGGCCTCTCCTCCCAATTTCCAGGAGGTCCTCCTTCTTCAGCCTCTTCTTCGCCAGCCTCTGCACCTGTAAACGAGGAGACACCCCTGTCTCCCCCTGCTGGATCGTCCCTCGGGCTTGGACTCCTCCTCTTCTTCTTGTCCTTCTGATCACGGGCTTTGGAGCGGCTTCTCGACCTTCTGGGTCTTCCCTTGGCCTTTGGCTTCAACCTCAACCTCGGCTCGCCCTCGTTTTCTGCTGCACACCCACCTTTTGTCTTCTTCTCCTTCAACGAGATAGCAGGATTTGTACTGGGCTTTGGATTACGAGGTAGAGGTGCTCGGGGATCTCTCTCACTAGGCTCTTTGACTCCCTCAGTGGATGGTCCAGGAGTCTCTGATGCTTTTGGGCTGTCGGCTGCTACTTCCTCCTCTGCTCTCTTCTCTTCACCTGCGGGCTTCTCCTCCTCCTCTGTGGCTTTCTCTTCTTCCTCTTTGGGACGGCGCTTCCTCCTCTTCCTCTTCTTTGGCGCTTCCTCTTCGCACTCGGCCTTCTCCTCCTTTACCTCACCTGTTGAACCTGCAGGTGGCTCTGCAGGCCCAATCACCGGCTCCCCGTGGCCAGGAGCCCCTCTGTCACCCTCAGCTCTGCGCTCCTCACGCAAGAGCTCCAGTCCTCGCTCAAGGATCTTAGTGTAAGCACGTTCAAGGACCTTGGCGATGTAGTCCCTGTGTGCTCCACTCGTCTCCTCGTCGACCACAACCGCTGCCACACGTCCCAGCGCTGCGCAAGCGGAGCAAGCGCAATCGCGGGAGCGGTGGTTCATCCGCAGCTGAGGCCGAAACACTGCGATCAAGAACGCGAACGGTGTTTCGTTTTAAACTACGGGACGTTTACCATATACACATACTGTCTTTCATATTAATCAGTTTTGGGACCTCTGGTTGGAGTCAGACCTGCCAGTGCTTGTCCGTCTCCCTGCCTGCGCCAGCCCGTTATCTCGTGGGTCTTCCCGGGGCGCTGGCAGCTCCTCATCTGGTGGCCGGTCGCCTGTAAGGCGCAAGGTCGGGAGCCACGGACGCTGTTCAACATCCCCAGCAGCAATAAAACACATGTGAGATCTTGGTAATGAATTAACGAAGCAAACCTGGCCCCTTTTCTAGCCCCTATCTCAGATCTAAAGGGTCGATAGACCATTCAATTTGTTCACAATTTGTCTGAAAACCACTATCAAGTTAGCTTTACCCTCTTGGTCCACATGTTATGTCAGAAGTGTGCTTTTGATTCATGTCATGCCCACGACACATTTCGACAGCCAGCGCCAAAGGTCCAAGGAACCTTGCTTGGGAACCTTGGGAATGGGAACCTTGCTTGGTACCCCAAACCTGGGAACCTTGCTTGGGAACCCTGGGAGAACCCGTTTCGAGGCTACTCCGAATCTCCTCCAAACCCTGGACTAACTTTACTATATGGCTAAAGACCACAAGATTACATCATTGGGGAAAAAACTTTGATGATGGTCTCAGAGAGACGCTCAGAAAGTCATTAGAAAGAGTCCTTCTTTCTTGCCAAAACTGGGACACAGGCTTGCCTTACTGATGCCTTACTGTTGTCGCCGAGGAGTTGACGACAATGGACAATGGACTTTTTGACAAGGTCTGTTCTGTTCTATGAAGATTTCATGATGCCAGCTGTTGCTTCAATACTTCTGAGGGTTTGTCAGCAGGTTCCAGTAGTCTGGGTGCAATGATGGTTAATTGCAGCATAGCCGTTGAACATTCAATCAACTGCAAACACTGCCCTATTCTCTTGGATCGTCATACGGTCACCCACAGGCTCCTCTTCCTGAGATCTGTGGCCTGGAAACTGCCACGCCAGCAAGAGCACGTTTTGTCGATGGAGGTCACGCAACAGTGTCAAAAAGTCCTCGTGCTGGTGCCACGTTCCACCTGCTGTGGAAAATGACAGTGTGACATGGTGACATGTGTATACATATTTGGACTGCATATGTGGCTCAGTGAATCCTCGTTGACATCAAACATGATAAATGTCTGAGCAACAATCTGTCCAACGAGAGTGAGTGTGGAGATTTTGCACAGCATCCTCCTCCATGACACCTTGCCACTCCCAGTAAGACCATTCAAATTTGCGCACTTACTGTAGATCCTAGATTAACAATGAGTGGTGTTTTTTGGTGCTTGGCTTGGAGCTGATACACTACATTATACTACGCAGGCTTCAATCCACAAGCCTTCGCGTAGCCTACACCATGGAGAAGGTTGCCTATGCGGAAGCTTACTACACGGGATGCCTACGCCCTTCGCGAGCAAATGGCAAACGGCGAAGATGATCTATCATGTTTTCATTATAGATATGTCATGAGTATCTTTGCTTCCACTCCGACGAAACAATCCCATGCAAACAACTTATTTTGCGAGGGCCTCCGCCTACAGCAGCGTACGCAAGCCTACGCCAGCCCACCAGTATCAGGCAAAGAGCCCACGCAGCATTGAAGGAGTTCCCTCATCTTCTTTCCAGCATCTCCCCAGCCCCCACCGGAAAAAAGACAAAAACAAACAACTCCCCGGTGAAATAGTCTACTACCCTGAAAAGGTGAAGAAAACATGAAACAAAGTGCCACAATTCAAGGAGCTTCTTCAGGTACCCTCTGTCCTTCTCTTAGATGTTCAGTAAATGGTATCTAAGCACATACTGTTTTAGCTACTAGGAGCGATCGGACGCTGCGAATGGGGCTCCTGGCTATACTACTAGGAACAAGGACACTACTATGAGCAAAGGGCATCGCTACTAGGAGCAAGGACGCTACTAGGTGGACCTCTTGGCCTGGTGACCCGTGCGGCTGCGCCACCCATGCGTTGTAGGACACACCGGAGCGGGCGGATCTTGGTCACTCGGCCTGACGCGTTGGAGCCGCGAAATGTCGTGGTCTATGTTCCGCCCACATGGACATGCTAGAGGCCAACAGCAATTTCTTCATATTTCTTCTCTAAAATCCATGGGCTGTGAAAAGCTCTTGCAAAAAAGAAAAGTTCTCTCTTGACTGCAAGTTAACCCTTCCGATCCACCTCAGCTCACTTGCACAACTATAATCAACATAAACTATAAATGTAAATGTTTCAACAGTTATGGGATGTTATGGGGAAAGTCCACAAAGCACTTGCTAAGAAGTTACAGTATAGCGCAATCCGGCACCGATGTTGCCACTGCTGGCAACAAGTTGGGCTGTGGTTGGACCAGCCTGTTCCAATGCCATGAGACTCATGTTTTACAATTGTGCAGCATATTTGATGCAAGCGTCGGTGGAGTCCAGGTGAATGACTTTCTCCCATGCGAGCTGCAGCATCTTCGGGCGGAAGCACCTGCCCTCGGGAAAGCTGAGGATAACACCAACAAGCAAGCACCACATGGACGCTTGGCCAGGACACGACGCAGTACAACAGATCCAACATCCCTTCGTTGCCCATGAATGAGCCGCTATATTATATGGCTAGCAACCGCTCTGAACAAACGGCAATTTGTTGTTTCAGTTTGGATGGCCTTACTACTGCCTATGATCTTGATTGAATCTTCATGCAAATTCCAAGCCCTCGGACTCGGCCCTCGTTGTTTCGTCTTGAGTACCTTGAGTAGTCTTAGAAATCCCTTGAAAATTGAAACCATCCGAGCATCGCCACGCTGACCACCACCCGTTGTCTTTCCGCCAGTGGAGCAGCTTATCGCCCTGACCTGGCGTCCAAGGCAGGGTTTTGCATGATCGCTCCTGATCTTCCTTTCATTTTCCAATAGGTGGCAACAGGCTAAGGTCTAGCAGTCAAGCAAAAGAATTACAGTAAGGCAGTATAAGGGTGCACAAGCATCTACACCATCTTTCAGATCTGTCAAGAAAACAACATGGCAGTTTTGATTTATCTATTGGAGCTCCGTTTCAAGAACCTGCTTGAAGTTGAACAGGAGTTCACGAAGCCTACCCAAGGCACTGAACTTCAACAGGTCTATTGGGGGTGTTCGGCTCAACGAACCCCCCGCCCCCCATCGATCGAACCGCGTTCGATGCTTCGACGCCTGTGAGCGCCATCAACAGGGCTCCGGGATGCGATCGCCGCAGCGCCTCGTAGGAGCCACACAGCTTCGCCAACCTGGAGCGGTTGCCGGTTCGCGAGAGCGAGGGCATGGGTCGGAAGCGGAGGTTTGTAGGGGGCAGAATCACAAGGGGGAGGAAGCCGGGGACTGTGGTGGGGGGGCCAAGTCAAGGGAGTATGAGTGGATAATCCACTGCACGTGTTTGGTCTCTTGGAGCGGATCGGTCACGGTGACCTGGGTGTTTGATGGATTCATGAAGGATGGAACTGGTGGGGATAAACAGACTGGGAAGAGTGGAAGAGCCGAAACACACATGATGGGATCAAAGCTGTAGGAGCAAGGAGCACCGCGAGATCCCACAAGAAATCACAAGATATCACAAGAATGTGTTGCACAGGGAGGAGCGCTGGTGACAGGATGGCTATGCTCAGCCCAAACCGCCGAGTCACAGCTGGGCCGCAGAACACAAAGTTGTGACATGTATTCACATGTTGTCTCCAGCGGACGGCCCACATTCATTTCGGGCCGGATCCATGTGGAATCCAAATGAATCCAGCCAAGGGACGCCTTCTCCAACAACAAGACCTTGGTGGCCAAGCCAGCACCGCAGTTCGGGCCACGTGTCCATCAAACGGCACATCATATGTCGTGTATAAAGGACGAAGTTTATATTAAACGATGCAAAGGGCCTTCTGCACACCAAGGACATCCAAGGACCCTCACCAAACCTTCCGTGCCTTCCGGTGTTTGCGACACGTAGCCCGTGGATTCCAATTGTGAGAAGCTCTGTCTGTTTGATACGTTCATTACCACGGCAATCATTTCACTACCAAATTCCTGAGCCGGTAAGGAATTGACCGTCAAGACGCCCAAAGTGGATGGAGAGAACCTCCAGTCCAGTGGCGTTCAGTGCCCTTTGACAAAGTTCGCACTGGCATGAAGTCATCCACCTGCAGCCGGAGCAATTCTTCAAGAAATGTGGAAGTGACACACAGTCCAATTGCAAACTCCCTTTTGCAGGCCCAACAAAAATCATCTTTCAAGCCTTTCAGGCCCGCGGATTTTTTTCTGTTGATCTTGGCATGTCTTAGCAAAAAGTATGCAAAAGTGTTGGATATGAGACTTATGGAAACATGTATTCGTTCTTACGCGCTACCTTTAGAGCTCACACCATTAACACTCACCAAGTCCAACAAACTGCCAAGAAACCACCAAGTACCGCCATCTTCGTTGCCACATGTCGAAGAGCTGCAGGGTATACTTCCCATCCTCCCTCACCGAGGGGCTGCGAACCAGAAGAGCATCCAAATATCCGGGGTATTCTCGAAGTGCAGCCAAGACAGATCGCGTGATCGTGACATCCCCAGGGCTGATGCCCTTCAACCCCACCTGCCACTGGATTATCGGGTTGCACGGTAGACATCAAACGGCCAGCAAGTGCATGCATAGAACACCCAGAAACAAAATCAAATCAATCAAATGCCTAAAATGATCTCCAAGGGACTACTTTCTGCTGGGTTAGATGGGGTTCAAAAATGTCATGTCCCAAATTCTACATAGTTCTACCAATATCTACCAATGTGAAAATAATTCATATCACACCATGAGGTTTCATGAGATGTCCATTGGATCTTCTTTGTGCAGCTGTTTTCCCTCCAGATCCTTCAATGTTCCCACCAGTTCCAACAGGAGTACCACGCTTTAACTCCCTCTCCGAGACACAAAGTGGCTCACATTGGGCTCGGTGTTGGCCTCCAGCAGGGGAGCGCCTACTGAGGTGGACACCGCACGCCAGGTGATCTCGGCCAGCCTGCGAACAGCAAAGAGGTGGGGTAGCACATGGGTGGCACATCTCAGCGTAGCCGTAGGTGGAGGCCTTCACCTTCATCAGCATGTTTTTCCCAAAAAGCTGTGGCCGGTGTCAGTTCACGAGTTGTGCCTACACGTCTTACACATGCAAACCGATTGGGTCTTGTTGGACGACCTGATAATTCAGAGCAAGCTCAAGGGCCCAGGTATGCCCTGGCCCCGGTCCGGTGGCCCAAATATCGCAGCACGCGTTCGGCCTCTCAGCCGATTTGTGTGGAGAATCTCCCATGAGCGAGGAGGAAGCAGGTGGGAACTCATAGTCCACGGAGCGGGGAACCTCAACGCAGTCGTTTGATCTCCCAACAACCTGTGCATAGTGGTCGGTTCCACTAACTTCCCGAATGCTTCGTTTCCATGACCTTCGTATGCCGGCATGAGCGCGAAAGTGGATCAAAATGGCACAGCTCGATGAAAAGGTTTGTATAAAATTGATAAACAACATGTATATAAGAGGCATCACCGATGGCTCGAGCCTAGTGCCAATCTGGAATCCATCACAATAACCCCCGATAATCTGATATAGTATTGCATGTAATTAACGATTCCGTGATTCGGCCTAGAAGTCAACCATAGCCTTGGGCACCAAGGACGAAGGTCTGCTTGGTGTTTGGAAAGTTTTGTCCTTGGTGCTGCCCTAGGTTTGGTTGGTTTCTTAATAGCTGGCGCCGTGTTTGGTTGGTTGGTTTCATTCTTCATCCGGCACCAACCTGCGGAGCGCTGCTAGGCTATACTAGGTCCGGGTCAAGGCGCCAGTATATGCATGTGGCCACCATAGGCACGCTTGGGATCTGCAGCTTCGGCTGGGAGTTCCAAAGGTTCCAAGTTCAGCAGGTGGTCAAATTGGTAGTTGGGTCCTGCAGTGTCGAGGCCTCGCGTCTCAGGCCTAGGGGCCTGGATGGAGACTGGTGTTGGCCCCGACTGCATTGGGATGTAAAATCTGATCAACCGCCTTTGGTTGATGTTGGGTGCAAGGATGGATGGAGGATGGATGACCTTTGAGACAAATTGCTGGGGCTCCTATGATGTTTTGCCCACATGACTGGCTCCTCTACAATCTACGAGCCATCTACGAGCCTTGCCTCACCCTGCGGATCTTACGAAGTCTGGACCGATGTTTTTGGGGCTCCATGCCTCAAACATCGCATCAAACCTCCCCTACCATTGACCCACCGCCCCATCGGTCACTTGAGCCTTTGTCCGTCACATTGGCCGCCCATGAGACGTAGCCACGAAGGTTGGGAAAGCTTTGGTCCGGCTCCGTGCCCGCGGCCTCCCACGCGGTGCAGGGCCACGCCCGGCCACGCGGCTCCGAGAGATGGGCAAGTCCCAACATCTCAAGTCGGAGCCCTCTGCATAATAAATAGATGAGCTACTTCATCACTGTAAATAGATGAGAGTTATCAATTTACATCGCAATGAAACAACTGTGGTGTCTTGTGGGTGTAGTGTGTGCTATGCATAATATACAGAGAAAGTCTATATAGGTATCTGTCTTCACCAGTCTCCCCAAAGTTAGCATGACACCTTGAAAGGCTCTAAATGGGTTTTGCATCCCTCTCAAGCATGCTCCACGTGGCCTGGTACATCAACACCAATGGCAGTCGCTGGTTTGGAGTCATCTCTTTGATGCACGCCCCCAGCTGGGTGCCAACACACCACCTAGGCGGACAGCTCGTAGCTGGGATTGGTGAAGGGTTCTTTGGGCCGCCAGAGCTGCGAAGTAAAATCAAGAAAATATGCTGTGGTTTTGTCCCAAAAATTAGTCGCGCCAGATTTTACTTTGCTTCAGCAACCCCTTACTGGAAGCATGGTGGGTTCGGGCAGGCCCCGAATAGATGGCACAAACCCTCCGAGGCCAAAGATTGCATATCGCCTGAAACCCACCATTGCTAAATAAAGAGATGGGGGTATAAGTGCCATTTACGTATCGTGGATGTCCATTGAGAACAAGTGGTTAGACAACCTTCAACAAAGCCATCTTAGCACGTGCTTTCTCAAAATCTTATATTCCGTTGGAAAACATATATTTTGTTTAATACTGCTTACCGATCCCCGTCAAAATTAGGGGGGAGGGGTCAGACCCCACTTTCTGTAGTATAAACCTGTGGGGCGCAGCAAGACTTCTTACAAAAAACAGAGGTGCGTCCAACTGTCAGGCATACAAAATGAAAGGGCCAACAAGCATTATTTTTTGCCATTGCCCCCCATCAATCTATAGAAAATGTGGGGTCAAGCACTGAGATTGCTGCGCCCTTCATTTTGTAAGAGCTGAATGCTTTCTACTGTTGGTACATCAGACTCGAACCAGTTTGGGAGGCCCCC